TTGTGGGAACACAGTGGGGTGTTTCAGGATTTCTAAACTGAAAAGGCAACAAGATGAAGGGAGATCATATTTAGGAAATTATGCAGCTGTTGATATGTTAAAGGAAGACTTAAAGCTGGCCACTTCAAAGTGACATGGAACAATCAGCAAGACTTGACAGCAGTGAAAAGAACTGGGTGGAACAAACCCACCTTTCCTAAATTATCCTAGTAAAACGTTGATTTGATGTTCCAAAACCAACAATTTAATGAAAACTAACCTTTTGGAACATTACATCTGCCACTGTATCTTATTATTTATTTCACTGTCACTACAACATGGCACTTAAGGTGACATCAGAAGCAAACTGATTTGATTTCTGTTTAAAAGGCAAATATGCAATTTTAATTCCATTTCCTTTCGCAGTGCCATTTAAACTCAGCTCTGACAGAAAGGAAGTCAGACATTTGGATAAATGAGAGAGGTTGATTGAATATTGATAAGCCAATTTTTAATTTATCAAGGTTATCTGGAGGTGCTAACTTGATGCAGCATGCTAACAAGAAGTAGCAACACAGAAAGTGATGTGTGCAGAGAGCTGCTTCTTTGGGATTATAAAAATGAGAACTTGGCAATGGGGACAGAAAGTGACTTCCTGAGGGAGGAATTCAAACGGATGGGAAGTGTGACAGAGGGATGGAGATGAATAGGTGGCAAGTTTTATGCTTCACAGATTGCAACATTAAAGCCACATCAAATCAGTACAGATGAGAGAGAAAAAAGAGAACCACCTTTGTGGAAAGTACAGTTCACATGTCACAAAAAAAATGCTCATGCTACTCTTTGCCAAATTTTTGCAGCAAGCCAGGTAATCATGACAGACCTTACAGTGCATTCTCTACATTGTCACAAGTCTGCAAGGCTTGACAGCTACCCACAAAAGACAATGCCCAAACAGTTTAGAGTGAGCAACCATTATTCTTCAGTCTCAGGGATTCAGGAAAGAGCACAAAATTAAAGCAGAAACGATAGAGGAATACACAAGACTGCAGAAAAAGAGCACAGACTGGCTTACTGAAAAATTGTAATAAATGGCATTTTGTAATGGCAGTGGAGCAATCTCACGTATTTGTATGCTTCTATTCATTGTAGATAAGTAACTAGGACATTTCCTTTTGTAGATTTGTCGATATCTTAAAAGCAATCTGAGACCCTCAAGTGCGCATCAGTGTGGTGAGGAAAGAGCAAAAAAAGCTTTTCTTCAGGATTTCTGTTGTGAAGTTAGAAGAACCAACTGAAATCTTACGTAGGAGCTTCAGTCTGAGAAAAAAAAAGAATTTTGATGCATGGAAAGCTCCAGTGAAGAAGGTTCCAGGGAGACCTCACTGTGGCCTTCCAATATGAAGGGAGCACACAAACAGGAGGGGGAACGGCTATACACAAGGGTGGATAGGACAAGGGGGAATGGTTTCAAACTGAGACAGGGGAGGTTTAGGTTAGATATTAGGAGGAAGTTTTTCAGCCAGAGGGTGGTGAGGCACTGGAACAGGTTGCCCAAGGAGGCTGTGGATGCCCCATCCCTGCAGGCATTCAAGGCCAGGCTGGATGTGGCTCTGGGCAGCCTGGTCTGCTGGTTGGCGACCTGCACACAGCAGGGGGTTGGAACCAGATGAGCACTGTGGTCCTTTTCAACCCAGGCCGTTGTATGATTCTGTGATTCTATAAAGGAAATTCTAGCATGACAAAGAGACTTCAATGATATATCTCAGGGCTTTGAAACACCTATCCCTTCAAATTTTTACAATCATCAAATACTTCTCAGTAATTTTGTCTCAAAGTTTCAAAATGTGTAAGAGAATAATCATTTCTCAGAAGACAATTAGCCGACAAGGTCATGCCTGCTTGGTAGTTAAACAACACAGGCACATGACTGCAGCTGTGACCCACCTCCTAACTGGAGCAAAATGAACCTGCCAAATTTGGGCTCATTGCAGTACGGGTGGAGTCACAGGATAATTTCCTTTTTATGCATTTTAGCTCCTACTCACTCACTCTGCCAGCAATAAGCAGCATCACTGTGGCACTTAACTCTCCTCCTGACTGATGCCAGCTGGGGCAGTCACCATAACAGTGTCCCCATGCTGGCTGCTAGCAACAAAGCTCTAGCCAGCAATTTTCTATCATCTGTTTTCACAGGTGACTCCCTTGTTGCTGTCCTGCATGAAAGCAAATTAAGTCTCTGGTGTAAATTCCCTCATTTTTACAACTTTTCCAGATCTACAAGACCTTTCTTTCTGCTAGTTGTACTTGTAGAAGTATGGGGCACATGGATGGAGATAGGATTTCTCCTAATTTGAACCTGTAGCATTTCCTTTCATCAATTCCTCAAAAACTTCTTGCTAATATTCTCTCAAAGTTTCAGAGTTTGTAGCAGATAAATGCTGTGTCTGCTTTACATTTCAGTCAGACACAAAAACATTCTTACAGCACGTTCCAAAAAGAAATAAAAGTGAGTACAGTCAGCAGAGAAACTATATATCTGCCATCGTAAGTATCACTGACCTCTTTTGAATGACCCATACTACTGCCTTGGTTCAATTCTTCCCAACTCTTAGACCCTATTAATTGGAAATAGAAATCTGAGATATTAAACTGATAGTGCACAACATTTAATTTCCTCCAGGCGTAATTTGCACAGCTCTGAGAATCAGTCTCTGTGAATTAATGATGCATCTCCGTATCTGTATGATAAAGATAGAGGGCTGTGACAACGTTTACATCTGATGCTATTAGAGTCTCTTCAGTGATAATCATTAGCAAGTCCATTAATGAGAATGTATTTCCCCAAGGCACAATGGCCATTCCACATTGTAATCTAAATCTATAGTCTCCAGAATCTCTATTTAGAAAGCAATGAAGTAAGTCCCTGAACTATATAACGGTTCTCACTCAAATCATCTCACCGCACAAAAAAGATGAGGGTGACTTCCTTCAACACTGGCAGTACAGAACATTACAATGGACAACTGCCTATTTTTGTTAACCAATAACTGGATTAGAAATGCCAACAAAAAATGGAATGCTGCACCCCAATGGCTTTGAATAACTGAGCAACGAAAACTCAAACTCTCAACTTAAAAAAAGTTCTATTTAAATGCAATAACAATGTGAAGAAACTCAATGCACTGATTATTTTAAGAATCTAATCCTAATGATTGACTTGTTAAAACCCATTCTGCTTGGCCTGTAATCTATGAGTAAACTAAGAACTTTGCAATACGCATTTTTTTTTTTTCAGATGAAAACGTGGTTCAAGAAATGGAAGATTTAATTTCATTCCAAAATACTTAAATAAAAAGAAAAAGGAAAGCAAAGAACAAATGATCAAACAAAACAAAAATCCAGCTTTCTACCTTCTACAGACTGGTTTCACCTTAATAAAGTTACAATAATTCACCCTACAGCAGCTGAGTTATCAGTTTCACAGCAACAAATACTGTGGGTAAAAACAGACCACTGTTCAAAGTCCTAATATCTACAGAAAGAAAGTGGGAGGGCATCTCTCCTCCAGCAACCTTGGAGCCAACACGGTTTCAGACCCCTGGACAACATACTGGCACCTTTCATCAGTGTTAAACTGAAAACTTGCCAGGGGTAACAGAATTGAAATCCTCCTTTAAATCCACAATATTGTTTTTTAAACCACAACAATGCCATGTCCTCCCATTCATGGTTCTCATTCAAAGATTCTTCACAGAGGTCCGATTTCCAGGAATGTTAGTATTATGTAAAGCAAAACAATTCATGCCCAGAATTTAAAGGAGATGTGTAGATTGTTGTACTGAAGCCATGGGTAGTTCTTCTTGGAAAATGCACCTTTGTCACAACAGCCTCTGCAATCACTGCTGAACTTGTTCCACACATCTGCCCTGACCCTGAAGAACCTCACTTTAAAAAAAATATGTATCCATTTATCTTAGAATTATTAAAGAGGATGAAAGACAGCTGGCAATAAGTTAGTTGCTTACACTGCAATACAAATGCTAACATTTCTCATTTGATATTTTGGGGATTATCTTTTTCCGTTCCAAAATTAGCCACATCCAGAGAAGTGCAGCAACTTCATGATCATTTTAAGCAGTTGCCAATGATGCTGACAACTTCCAACACGAAGCAATAAATTAAAAAAGAGGCTCGAGAATGTTGATAAGTTCTCAACATTTTCATCTGAAACAATACATGGTGATCAATTTTCTGAAGCACCCTGGGAAAATTTCATCAGCAGACATAGGCGTTCAAACTATATTGTGTACCAGCTCATAGGAAAACCTGAATTGAGTTCCCAGTGTAATGTTTGTTTCCCAGCACATTCAACCACCTGGGGTGCTCTGACAAGGCTGTTCTCTCATCCTTGTTGCACTGGCTGAACGAGTTATGCATCAACACTTCTGCAAATGCAAATGAATTCAAATTTCTAATAAAGGCATTTAAAGTATACTCTCTTGATTTTCATTATGTATAGTGTATCCTTTTTTTATTTATGATATGCTGAGCTTCTCTTAACAAAGCAAATGCTTGATTCTTCTTTACTGACTTGCAGGAACTTCAGCAAACTTTACCGCATTTGCTGTTTCAAGCAGGCCTTGAAACATGGCCTGCTTATATATATATATGCAGATGCTCATATATATATAGCACATATATATGCATGTCTATGTGCTACATATGTATGAACATCAGTTTGGGATCTGCAGACGTAAAAAGACATCCCTTAAGATTGATGTGACCACCTTTAGAAGATAATGTTTCTAATATTTTGCACAAGGTGCAGGATCACAGTCTTCCAACTCTTATTTCAAGCAGGTATTAAGAGCTGCCTGCTTTTGTGATCTGCTGTATTCTACTTGGGAGTAAACTAATACATAACTTGTCGTACTAATGAATTGTCTCCTTGAAGCTCGGCATCTTCAGCAGGAACATGACTTCCATGGTAATAAAGCAGCAGAGAGATTTCTAATTACCTTTGGACAGTTAACCTTTGTTATTGTTCCATGACTTCACTGAGTCAGTGTTTCTGGATACCACTCACCACAGACAGTGCCTCCAAACAGGCTGACTCTGCAAGTCAAGAAAAAAAGTCATCTTACTGACTTTGTGATAATAACCAGAAATATACAGAGATGAAATGAAGGAGAAAAAAAAAAAAAACAAATACTATGCAGACTAGAAGGAAGGCAAACAGAAGAGAACAGAAAAAAGAAAACCGAGAAGGTAAAGCTAGGCAGAAAGTAGAAAAATGGGAAGAAAGCTCCAAGAAAAATATGAGAATAATTACTTCTCTTCTTTTTCCATAAATAAAGGTGTTTCTTTTAACATAAATGTATGCACAACTAATGCCTGCTTGCTGTACAGCGTTCCAGCTCTCTGGTCTCCTGGGGTTACTTCAGAAGTCAGGATCAGCTTCTTCAGAAAGGTTACAAGCTGAAGTTTCTATGAACAATTGCTCCCTGAACTGGATAGGTTTTACAAGAAAAACCAAATACATAACTTTCTAGCCGAGCCATTCTGGGTCTCCAAACACACTCGTGTGCAAATCACGTGGTAGTCCATTTCTGGGAGAGGAGTTGGCAGATGTTAGTAGTTCACAGTTTCAAAAAAGCTTTTAGTAACTTTTGTTCACTCTGTATCTGACCATAAATGAACCTTTTGTCATCTTCTAAAATGCCAGCTGCACTGGGAGTACACCGAGCTTCAGGAAGGATTAGATTTAGCAAGGCTTTTGCTGAAAATATTGCTTTTACAGTCTCAAATATCATCTTATCTAAACACCTGCAAGTCAGAGTCAACTCAATAATCAGCCACCAAGTCTTCCTGATTTTCTGGTCTTTTCCCTCATATGTTTTACTTTCTGGTGTCTGTAACAGCTTTCTTGGAATGTAATGTTCCTTGGGAAATCTGAAGTCTTTTCAGAGAAATGATTAACGGGCTTTATGAAAAGTAAAAAAAAAAAAAAAAAAAGGCTGTAAATATATTCAGAGAAGTGAAAGGGAGCGTTTTACTTACTGGTTTCCATGTAAATAATGCAATGTGAGACATGCAGAATAATACTTCTAAACTACTTTTACATTTTGGAAGAAAAAGGGTTTCAGACATCTTCAGAGATGAGAACTAATTAATTTTTCCATGTGCTCATTTAAGCTCTTTGTGCAATGTCTAGAATTACTTCAGACTTGAACTTCACCCTAGCAACCAATTGCAGCTCCAAGACAACTTCCTAAGCAGTCCAGGTAGCTTTGTATCTTTTGTAATAACAATTAACACGTGACATAATGGCAAGGGACAGCTTGGTCACAAGGAGAATATACTCTCATGGTATTTCACCTGTGAGTCATCCCAGAACAGAAATACAGTAATAAAACTTAGCTGATCATAAACTTCAAGTATTGCAGCCATTAAAGTCCAAGAGCAAACATATTTCCTACACGTGTGTCACAAGGAGCTCCTGCTAAATTATGCAGCACCTGGTAAATACTGTTAATTCACTTGCACCTAAGCTAATTACAGATTCCAGCAAGCAATCAGATATGATTAAATTACATTTTGGGAAACTATCAAATGGTTAAGGCTGAAGGAAAACAGCTTAAAATAGACTGTAGAAGGTAACACTAATTAGGAAAACTACTTATTTCTCAGCTTTGGAGATTTCTTCAGCTTCAGGAACAGGTATTCCACTCTGAGCATCATGTGAAAAACAGTTGTAATCTCTTCAGGGACTACCCAGGTAAACTGAAAGCAGCATTTTGACCTCCCCTGGGGAATTTCATTTGACCTCCTTTATATTTCAAGAAGCATTCTAAAAACAAGAAATAAAGCCTTGATAAATAACATCCATCTGTTGGTGAATTTTGACAACTGGCCCAGATGCTGGGGAGTATTCACACAACAGCTTTTTTCTCTATAAAGGCACTGAAGTTGGGGACTATTGGAATACTTTGCAAGAAAGACGTGGAAGAAAAGAGCTGAGTAAGTAGAATCACTTGAGAAGGGATAATATGTAGGGAGAGGAAGGAGACGGGAGGTCAGGAACTCTCTGAGGTCATTTGGGACTATGTTTTCAATAATGTAATATGCAGAATGATGAATATCTCCCAGAATATAAATGATCTCATATCTGTCTCTGACATCTCCTGTCGACCAGGCCTATTTTCCATTTTGATTGAAGTTACCTGTTCCTCCCCGACTTCCCTCTCTTCCTCACCTATTCTTGGAAACATCAGATTTCCATTTTTGTCACTGCAATGAAACATGCCTCCCTCAGTAACCTCAACACACCGAGCTTCCACTTGTAATGCTAGAAGCTCGAGTTAATCCACTAAGCTAAAAAAATGGCCATAGTTTGCTGTACCTACAGCATCGGGAAACTGACTGACTCAAGATCACTGAGTAGCAAATGTATTTTTAATGTCACTAATGATAGCAAAGGGTAACTTTGTACACCCAAGTATAGCCATGCTGAAGCAACCATTATTAGCAATAAGTGCCACATTTTTCCTGTTTGACTCATTAGGTCATTGCCCAAAGACAAGAGGTACGTGCCTTGGGCAGAGATGCATCTCAGCTGTTGTTCAGGATCTAAGACTGTATGACCTTCCAATCTCTGGTAACTGCCAAGAAAACAAGATGTATAATTAACACCTGCGCAACTGTGTTCTACACATTAAGACTACAACATAGATGGTGAAAGCTGAACACTTCCAGCAACAGCAAAGTCTCTGTTTTATTTTTAATAGCGTACTGGTAACAGGTTTTCCATTTTTCTCCCTCAACAGAATAAAACTCTTTTACCATGCCAATACTTTATCTTGAATGAGAGTACTTAGTATTTAACAAATAGAGCTGATAAATATTTCAAGAAAAAATACTGAATATCTCTGGTTTTAAGAGCTCTAGATAAAGCTCCGGCATTTGGAAAGAAGCAGCAACCAACCCATGTACTCAGCAGTATATTTTCCCACACGTAGCATATTATTTGTTCATCGGTTTTGCGTTGCGGAGCCCCAGAGTGGTGTATTTCTGAGGAAGAGAGAAAGGACAAAGTGTGGGTGGACAGACACGAAGAGCCTGTACATACCAGACTGCCTGGTTAGGAAAGGGGAATTACTCATAAATGGGACTTCTAAGACAAGTGTTAGGCAAAACTTTGCCTCCTAATTCTTTGAAAATCAGATAGATGGCCTCTACTCCACTGCAGATGGAACTAGCGAAGTAGCAAATAAAAACTTCCTTTCCTTTTTCTTTTCAGTACTTTTTTTTATTTTCCCCCTTGACTCATACAACACTGGCAGAAGGCTTAATCTTGCAAGATACAGCTTTACGTGTGAACTTCAGTGTGACAGATCACGTGAAAAAGGACTGCTGCCAGTACATTTAGCAAGATCGGTTCCTTCACATAATTGATATGCTGGAGGGAGATGCAGAGGAGCTCCCAAAGGCTCCTTAAGAAAATTAATCCATCAGATTGAGGGAAGAATGGATGGTCTCCCTTCTCTAGGTGGAATCAAATCCCTTCAGACACCCCTGAATCTTTTTCAGTAAGAATTATTTGTAAGTCCCAGGGATATAAAAGTATACCTTAAGATCTTCCTTTTTCTTCCTTGTCAGTGGACTGGTAACATAAAAATGCCAATATTCATAAACAAATTACCAGCTAAGAAAAAAATTGACGCCCAGAGAAGTATCTTGGAGAAATGTTTAACAATTAGCACATATTTTAATGCTAATAAGGAGTTTCCCACCTCTAATATCAACTTTTATTTTTTATGCAAACTCATATATTGAAATACACATCTATATATTGATAGACTGATATAAGCTAGTACTCTTTCTATAGAGTACATATAAATACACCCACACACTCAAAAACCTTACACACATGCAGAGACACAACTCAGTAGAGGGTCTCTCACACTAGAGTGAAACAATACACTTTTGTGCCAACTACTCCTGTCCCCATCTCCATCCCTTTCTTAGAGACCTCCATGTCATTCAAGATTTGCTCTCCATCTCCCCCTTGCAAACAAATTCCACCTACAAGACGTACACGTGTACGACTCTCTTGTTTTGAAAGAAATTAACACGTTCCTTTTAAAGGTTGCTATACATCTGTGTATTATGTAATTTGACTTTGATTTCCTCTAGAAATAGTACTTGCTGTCAGTTTACACCAACTGAACAATATACAAATTCCAACAGAAACAGCCTGGGAACGTTGCAGCTGCCCCACAGACTGGCCCGTGTGCTACGTGTGCCCTTCCCTCTCACTAACAACTCAGTCACAGAAAAGTTACCACACTGCAATGCAGGAATTATGAAAAATGAAGGCATTCTCAAAAAAAAACCCCTCTACTCTTTTAATGAGACTGATGCTACCAGATGCTTCTTACTTTGCAGCATAGCTTCAAAGATGAGTCCAAGTCGGTGAATAGGTACCAGATATGCACCAGAAGCAGACTTTAAAAGACATGTATATGTAATCCATTGTACCATATTCAACATCAGAGGCTTAATATTTCTCTTCTGCAGCTTTTCATCTTTTCCATAACTTTCTTTTGTCTGACTCCAATTAGAACATCACCGCTATGCTTTTGAGCTGGAACAACTCGATGTTTTTAAGGTTTTCTTTCAGAGTAGAGAGAGACTGGAAAAATTTCCACCTGAGTCATCCACACAAATCCAAGCCAGGGTAACAATAACTAATAGAAGTCTGGAGACTGGGACTTCAACGAAGCCAGTTGTTGGATCCATCTCTGCAACGGGTTTGCAGTCAGCAGAAAGGCAATAATAAAGCAGAGATCACAAACACATATTCTCAACTCTAAGCCTTTCCTTCAGCTTTATCTACAAAGAACAAAGGCAGACCAAAACTTGAAAGGTTGGTTCTTGTTTTAAATAAGGTTTTGCAGCAAAGTCTCTAGAGTTACTGTTGCAGAGGCTTTCCTGAATCATTGCTGCACGCTTTGAAAGCTGAGCTAAGTATCTGTGACTTTTTTTCCTTCCAGTACAGCTCTTTTGAAAAATATCTGATCTTAAAGTAGGGGATAATTCATTTGACAGAAGGC